AAGCAATTTAGTAAAAACTAGACCATCCACAACCCATTGGATCACTTCTATTTCGGTTACTGTTAATTTAAACTTTAAGTAATTTGGTATTAAAGGTAGGTATTAAGCATCACCTCTTGCTAAATTTAATAATTATAAGTAAATCAATATTTTAATAATTTAGAAGATTCTGGAAGAAAAGAATATGCCTGAAGTGGGACTTAAACCTGCAACTCCCACTTCAGATATCACACAACACCATAGGCACTGAGTCATTTTGAGCCAGCACTGCAAGTAACTGAACATGGTTATATTCAAATTAATAAGTTCTGGAAGCAGGGATTGAATGAAGGTCTGTGTAGTGTAACTAACAATGTGGCTGCACGTTAAGTGGGAGTTGCAGGTTCAAGTCCCACTTCAGGCAGATTCTTTCCTTCTAGAACCTAGCTAGATATAATCCAGCTATCATTTGGCTTTAATATATAACTATTGGGTTTAAGATGTTTCTGTCTGTGTATATTTTTAATTAACTGTTCTTTTTTACATTTAGTTTAAATACAAATTATAATGGAAACAGGTTGGAATTATTCAATAATGTGAATTAATCAAGTCTGAATTAAACCAGATGTGACTAAACTTCTATTTTATTCTGTATATAATGTTAAGTTCCACTTTTTGCAACACATTCATCATTTATCTTCTACTAATATAATACGATTAAAATTATATACAATATGTTTATGATTTATACAGAAAAGGATCTTGTGTGTTTTAAAAATAGTACAAGCAATCATTTGTATAAATGGCAAAATAAAGGAAAATTATTTTAGTTTATTATATTATATATAAATTTTTTCCTCATTTATTTCCTGCTTTTTTTTTTGTAAAGGAATGATTTGTATTTATTGTTTAAAATAATACAACTGCATAAAAATAAAAATCACAGTATCATGTGCATTTTCCCCAATGATAAGTATATATAAACTTTGCTTATATTTTCTATTTTATCAGCTGATGAAACAGTGTATTTTTAGAGATAAGCTTTTAAAAAAGTAAAATTCAAATAACAACTAAAAGTTTTTTTTGCAATAGAATTATTTTCAAATAATTTTGAGTTATGGAAATTAGAAATAATTGTTGTAAAATCAAAGTTATTCTATACAAAATAAAAAGTGATTGACAGTAATAATAATAATAATAATAATAGTAGTAGTAGTAGTAGTAGTAGTAGTAAGGTAAAACCACGCTATCTTGATACTCAAATAACTTGCCATTTTTTAATTTCCTGGCTGTTACATATAACAAAAAAATAGTATAGCAACTAGTCAAAAAAATGACCCCCTTAGATTTTTACACTTTTGGATCTAGGAGATTGTGAAACATCAAGAAATGCAAAAAAATTCAGGTGTGTTGAAAATTTCTTAATTTTGCAGGGAAGTTTGTTTATTAGGGAGATTGATGCTATTAAATTTTGGTGATTTAAAGGTCAATGGGGTAGGGAGATAGAGGGAGGAGTTCATGTGTCATATCTCAAGTGGGATCAGACTTAATGATGATTTTTATTTGTTATTGGGATGTACAATTTTTTTATAAAACCCATCTCAACCCTCAAAATTTTTTTGCTATTTTATGATAGTTAAGTAACTTGTTGCTGGATTTTTATATATTTTCATTGGTCTAATGCAGTAGTTCTTAACCTTTTTATACTCGCGGCCCACCAAATATTTCATAATTTTTTTGTGACCTCCATTTTTAAATAATNAATTAATTGAATCACGTAACATTCAATGAATAAAATGTCGAGAAATTAAAAGTCTTAATTAAGTAAACGATGTCGCTGGATTCTTTAATCATTCTGATTCATCAAATGATTATTTTTAACTATTTTGTGCATACGAAAAAGTTAAATATGATGGAAGATAAATTTGTAATCTGAAATAAGAAACATGGCTGCACAAACTGCGTCTGCAAATAACTTCACAAACATTTAACTAAAATAATCCTCCAGAGGGCCGCAACCCCCTTATTAAGAAACACTGGTCTAATGTATCATTATATGGAACAAAAGTTGATGACAATAGACAACCCATTAACATAATGTTAAAAGCAAACTTAGAATATTCTTCCATCTGATTCCAGTTTCAGGTTTAATTAAAGAGCAAAATTTGAATCTGCATAGGTCTTCTTTTCTATGCATTCCAATTCAAAACAAACTCTTTAAACCTAAAGTTGGAAGCAGGTAAATTCCAAAAATGTGAGTGATTTGCTCTGTACTCTGTTTTTGCTTGAAGGTGAAGAAGTTTGTCATAATCTAAAGATATTAAGTGTAGTACAGTAGATCCCACTATAAGACGGTAGATACGTTCCGTTCTTTATGAATCAATTTTGTAGGAATCATAGTTTACGGACTACGGCTGTTTGAAAGGTTTTCTTTCATAAAATTAATCGATTCTAGACTAATTCGACTCAACATTTCCAAAATACGTATATTTTTTTTAAAATAATCCGTATAAACTACGTTATAAACAAAAAATTGTAGGATTACTTACCGAGTGTGTACCCTTTGACTACGCTCGTTGCTAAAGCTTGGTTTCGTCGCGGAACAGCGCATCAAATTGCGGCCGCGATTTCTGATATTATTTTTCTGCGAAAACTTCGTTGACCTTTGGAGACATCATTAATATAAATAATTTTTATGGCCGTTAAATAAGAAATGTTTCTTTCACAAGAAATGTATAAAATTACAGTACTAAACAGACGATAGGTCGCCTAACTCGCCGTAGCGTGACGCTAGACGGCGAAAAATATATATTTAATTATAATAAAGTTACAATAAATTAAGTTAATATATAATTATATATACAGTACCTAATTTATATATAATTAATATATAATTATATGTACAGTACCTAATTTATATATAATTTATATAATACTGTCCAGACGATAGAAATCTCTCCGTAGCGTGGCGCTACGGACGGCGGGTAAGTAGTTCGGCTGCCCGATGACGTTTTACGTATTATAGGAGTTATTTTTACCGTTGTTTACGGATAATGCCACAATTTTTATAGGAATCATAACTATAGGAAACGGTTTTATAGGGGGATCTACTGTACTGCCACAATTTTTATAGGAATCATAACTATAGGAAACGGTTTTATAGGGGGATCTACTGTATATCCAATGTTGAAGTACTTTTATTACATTTTCACTGTGAAATATTTACATAAAGTATTTCAATAAACAATAAGTTGTTTACTCTCTTATAACTTGGTTTTCTTTTCCATGTATTTTGTTATTTATAATAATAATTTAAAATTTTAACCATGATATGACATTATATCTTATCTAAATTTCTTGAAAACTTGATGTGTATTAGATGATTGTGAACACAAAACCTTAGACTGACATTCTTCTGAATAGTGTCAGAGACATACAAAAATAAATGTTTTGCATCAAGTATAGCTTTTCTTTCAATAAAACTCCATTTAATTTCTCCTGCGTAAGATAAAATATCACTAATTTTTTTTTTATTAGAACTGTTAATAAATATATACTATAGCTGTTTATATGTATATATACAATGTTAAATGCAAACTTATACTATTTTGTCCACCATGTACCAAGATAAACCTGCACTCTATACTTTATTTCAATTGTAAATAATGTAAAATTATATGTATTTTACTGCATTGCTTATTACTTCATTCACTACAGTCAACAGTGCAAAATTTTACATCACATCATTAAATTTGATGATAATTGATGAAACACTAAACAATGAATCAAGTGATCCAAAATTATCTAATGTCTGCCAAATGTAGAAAGATATTTCAAGGCAATAGATAAAATGCTATATAGATGCCAAAATCAAAGATTTTAACTGCATTTATATCAATGACTTAAAAATATTTTAAAAACTAGATTCATCATTGCTATTACATCTAAATACTTAATTTGTTGATTAGAATAAAAATTACAAATGCTATTCAAAGAAATTTACAATACCAAATTATGTATTTTAAATTTCTTTGAATAGCATTTGTATATAAAATTTATTAATTTATATCTTATTTGTGTGCATTATAACAATCTCTAGTATCAAAAAGTATCGTTATCAGTAAGGAGGCGGAGCCCTTTTGTTAATTCCTGAGTGGAAAAATAAAAAAATTTAGTTATTTTATAGAAAAAAAAATCTAATATCATTTAGAAATTTGTGTATTTGAGCAAACCAAATAACTACTATACGTTCCTGTAGAGGAGCAGAAATTGGAAGGTACCGCGAGTCACAACGACTACAAGTTACCATTAACAGTTTGGCAATTCAAAATAGGCCGGGTGCGGGTCACGATGACCGGTGCCCCTCTTACGGGATATCCGCATCATTTTAAATTTCTATTAAATATTTCATTTTAAAATTTCTTTCATCATACTAAATCAAACAGAACTTAAATGAAGAGTAAAATTTAAATAGTAAAATACAAAAAATTTTAGCAATAAATAAAATACTGTACAATATATTAAATATGTATTTAAATAAAACCAGTCTGACAACAATTTTAATTTAAAATTTTTGATTGTTATATAAATCAAACGAAGCGTTTTCTTCTAAATCCTTACTATAAATAAAAGGAAAGAAAAACAAGTTAAATAACCGTAATCTGATCAGATTCCGAAATGGAATTAAATTTGAAAAGTGAATTAATTGAATCACGTAACATTCAATGAATAAAATGTCGAGAAATTAAAAGTCTTAATTAAGTAAACGATGTCGCTGGATTCTTTAATCATTCTGATTCATCAAATGATTATTTTTAACTATTTTGTGCATACGAAAAAGTTAAATATGATGGAAGATAAATTTGTAATCTGAAATAAGAAACATGGCTGCACAAACTGCGTCTGCAAATAACTTCACAAACATTTAACTAAAATAATTAAATCAGTTTTAAAAATAAATAAATTCAATTGTAGGGAATAAAAATTGAAATTAAATTCGATAATAATGTATAAAATCTTACTTGGTCTACAGATTTTCCTGATTCGGTTGGCTTCTCACCGTCTTCCGCCATTTTAGATCTGCTAACAAAGGGTCAAAAGGATGTTGCTATGGTAACAGTTTACGTATACTTAAAAAACTTGCGTGCTAATATTAACTAGAAGCTTTTTAGAATACTTAATTGCAATGCATAAAATAATAAAAATAATACCTGTATTATTATGTTTTTAAATAAAAATATAACAAAATTAAATTATACGTGTTTATTTTTTATTCTGTAATTAAGATAAAATTTAATATTTCGTATGAAAATTGTAACGATATTTGTCTTAAGTTACAATTATTATTATAATTATTAGTAAATATAATTTTTTATACGATTCCGATATTATTATTTCAATAAGATTTTAAATCGAAATATGTAATAGGAAGGAAGCGTAATTTACGAAAATATTTCTATTGGATAAGATATTATAGTTTAAATTCAATTCGACCAATCGGACGCAGTGAGAAAAGTCATTGGTGTAATTTCAAATCAAAACCGTCCACTGAGAGCAGTCGTTGTCATAGCAACTGTTATTAGTCTAGTTGTCCGAAGACGTTGAAAATAGGCCTTGTGAACTTAAGTATTTTAACAAAAAAATCGCAGAAGTTAAAAAATTAAGATATAGTAGATCTTCAAAACGATGTCTAGTGTAAGTATGTTATATGTAAATTTGAAATAATATTTTTATTTTATGAACAAAAAGAGTCGCTAAGCCTAATGATTCAACATAACTAATTTTGCAGTAAAAATGATCAGATGGATTTCTTATAAATATATGTGCATAAAGTTGATTTGTTTGGTAATTTTCTCAGTAAATACATTTTAAAATATCTATCTGAGTAATATATATACAAATAACAGATTTTTTGAGCTTATAAAACATGTTAGAATCTAAAAACGAAAACAATTTAGTAATTATAATTTTAGTTTATCAAACGACTCATAGTAGAAGATAAATTGTAATAAATGTATGTTTTAAAGTCTTTTTCACACATATTGTATAGAAATCACCATTAAAATTAACATAAGTTATATGTAAGGAAAATAGATAAATATTGAACTAAAATAAGAATTTTAAATGATATTAATAACTGAATATTCAGTCATATATGACTAAGTACTTTTTATTCATTCATATTATTTGAATATACTGTGTGTATATATTTTTTATCTAATATAATTTATAATAATCTTAAGGTTAACTTTTTGATGTGATGGCTTATTGACTAGACTTTTCCAATCCTTTATAATAGTCTTATTTAACATGGCATGATTCCTAAATAATAAACTGAATATTGCAGTAACTCTTGATTACGCTTACTTGATGAACATTCTCGTGTTAATAACTGACTTTCTTTTAAAGATCTTTGGACATCCTGTAAAATTAATGCTTTGCACTCTGTTTAAATCTCGCTTGTTCTGATAAACAGATCTTTGTCTACACACTAGGAGAATAGTTTATCTTTATATCTGCTGTTTAAATTGAAAGCACCGTTAAATATTAAATTGAACTGCTATTCAATCACAATTGCAAATAATTAAAAGTAGTATCATAAATGTTGACAATTAGTGATCGAACAGCAGTCTTTTGTAGTATGCAATGGAAATCTTTTAAAGTCAAATTATTTCTGGATTACATTGGGCTATATTAATTCTACTAACTATTTTAATCTAAAAATCAGCATTAATATAACCCAATGAAATCTGGCAATTATTTTGCTTTAATCTAAAAATCTGGCTCTTAGATGTTTATATTTGGAAATCTTTTGTAAAAGATATATCAATTAATTAGAATATCATCAATGACATCATATTTATTGACTTTTGGCAATTTTTGAAAGTGGCTGACTTGGGGCTTACTTTGGAGTTAGAGCAAGAAAGCAGCGGGATTACAGCCAAAGTTTTCATCTCTAAAATGTGAACATCTCTAAAATAGTACAGAATGTCAAGTGCCTCTTACAAGATTTCAATGTTCACATTTTATAGATGAAAACTTCGGCGCAACCTCTCTAGTAATAAAATGGTTTTTTCCCCCTTCCTGATTCTTATAGAATATACATTGCAGTATATATGAAATAGACTGGTCACCTACTACATACCTGCAATTTTGCTTCATCGTAAGTTGTATAGGGTTTTTTTTTTTTTTTAGAGGTACAGTAGAGCCTCGATTATCCGACTCAATTGGGGACTGGGGTTGGTCGGATAACCGAAAAGTATGAAAAAATCCATTATTAGTGTAGTATTTTATTATATCCCATGTAATTAGTATATTAGTATATCGCTATTAACCTACTTCACGTTGAATTTTCATCAATGTTAAGCCTAACAAAAATTTTTTAAAATAATAATCGTCGCTATTGTATCGTTAAAAATTAAGCCTCGTTTAAATACTGGCTCCCTTTTTCATGGTCGAATGAATGTTGCCAACTAAAACACGTAAAAATAATATTAAAGTAGCCAAGACATAGCCAAATATTGTAGCGCCACATCACTAGCGGACATTTGAAATTTGCCGACTAGGACGGTCGGTTAACCGAGGTGTCGGTTAATCGGGGGTCGGATAATTGAGGCTCTACTGTATATAAATTTAAAATGAAGTAAAACACGTAAAAATAATGTTAATGGCCATGATGTTGGCTTTATTTAAAAGATAATTTTATGCCATTAGTGTTTAAACATGATTTCGGGCATATGGGCGCCATGGCTGGCTTGAATGAAGCGCAATCGGGAAGAACAATTTTCGACCACTTTATTGAGCAACTGGGCCGTATATCAGTAATAACATGGCAAATGTTGACTTCCAAGTGGTCTAATGTCTGTGGTTTATTAGCGTAGACTAGTGACTTTACATATCCTCAAAGAAAGTAATCTATTGGTGTGAGATCACACGATTATGGAGGCCAGTTCACAGGTCCATTATGCGAAATTATGCGCTCATTGGATGTTTCGTACAATAAATTGATGGTGTCGCATGCTGTGTGGCATGTTGCACCATCTTGTTGAAACCAAAGCTCTGCCACATCAATATCATTCAACTGAGGAATGAAGAAGTCAGCAATCATGGCTCCAAAAGTGCTCTCCATTGATGGTAACATTCTGACCGACATCATCTTTAAACAAATATGGGCCTATGATTTCACCTGTCCATAAAGCACACCAAACAGTGACTTTTAATGGATGTAAGTTACTCAACATTCGCCACGTTATTGTCGATATATGGCCCCAGTTGCTCAATAAAGTGGTCGAAAATTGTTCTTCCCGATTGTGCTTCATTCAAGCCAGCCATGGCACCCATATGCCCGAAATCATGTTTAAACGCTAATGGCATAAAATTATCTTTTAAATAAAGCCAACACCATGGCCATTAACATTATTTTTACATGTTTTATTTCGTTTTAAATTTGTATACCTCTAAAAAAACACCCTGTACAAACACCCTGCTTTCAAAATACTAGTTAAATGTTCTTTTACACATTCTTAGTATTGGATTGATATTTAGAGTTAAATATTATTAAGGACGTTGAAACTGTGCTTGAGTGTGAAATGACATATTATAGATAGTCTTGTCAACATGTTTAAGTACTATAAAATAACAGTATCCTGTAAATACCTGGCTAAACAAATTGTTTTACTCAGGCATTTATAGGATATTTGCCAACAATGATGCCATAACCTTAGAAATCATATGTAGGCTATACTAGCAGAAATTTTAGAACAAACTGATGGACTAATGGAACATTAGAAAGAAAGTGTAAACAATACTAGTCTGCTTTGCAATGCAAGACAATACTCATGTAAGGTGGGATGAGGCCAGTACTGTTAAACAAATTAACTTCTGTTTATTTGTTGTTTTTGAAACTGTACTGTACTGTACTAAAATTTTTTTTTAAGAGTGTTAAACACAATATCATGTTAATAATCAATCACGTGGCTTCTTTTCCATCTTTAATTAAATGAAGATGGAAAAGAAGCCACATGATTGATTATTAACACAATCTTATATTTAACACTCTTAAAAAAAATTAACTTCTCTAAGAAAAAGCACAAATGAACGACTCAAAATTTTCAAGCAAAATTAAAGAGTGAATGCATTAACTACAGGGCTGTGGAATCTTTGGAGACTGCTTGAAATATACAGTTATTAATTTTAATGGAAATTATTTTTTAGTTTTACGTAATAGTATTTAATTTTTAATATTTGAGAGCAGCACATTTGTACATTTTAAAGCAATTGGTGTACATTTAATATGCTATTGTTTTAAAATTCAGATTATATGCAGGTTATTCAGATTACTAGCTATCTGTTACTACAGATATAACATAATTAACAAGAATAGAGTTGTTCTGAACTTAAAATACAATTGCACTTAACATTAGATTTTAATTATAAAAAGTGTATTGATCTTGGGTAATGACTCAGATAACTTTCAAAGACCTATATTAGTCCAGTTCACTTTATTCTTTGGCAATTTATAGAATACTAGCACATTGGTTCTTAACCTTTTTATACTTGTGGCTTACCAAATATTTCATAATTTTTTGTGACACCCATTTTTTTAATAATAAATTTATATTTGTTAAATTATCTATAATTAATTGATTTTTTTATTATTGCTTTATTTTTTACATAATAAATGTTAAGACATAACTATTATTTCATTATCTATTTAAATAACATTCAAAGTTCACAATTAAACATAAAAACTCATTAATTTTTAACAAAAAATAAAATTAGAAACATTTAAAAATTCATAGAAAACACAAAAAATATTTGAAAATAATTTAACGAACTTTCTGCTGCTGAATATCCTCAACTAATTTGTTAATTCTTGGTTCAATTATTTGTAATGCTATCTGTATGCAGGTATCTAATTGCAATTGATTGCATTTTATATATATATATGGATATATATATATCCATCATGGTTGAGAACCCTTTTTCACAGAAATATGCATAAATTTTGCATAATTTGGCGGCCCCCCGGCAAACTTTTTAATGGACCCCCAGGGGGCCTTGGCCCCCTGTTAAGAAACACTGTACTAGCAGATGAGCCTATTGTTGCTCAGATAAAAAGTAACAATAGCAAAGATTAAGATTATTAGATTATAGTTGATCTTATCCATTTTCACTGAGTGCAAGAATTAGTTCCCCCTCTTCCGAGACTAATTAGAAAATTTTTAGATATCTGCTTACCACACCAGAATAACAATAAATAAGACTCACTGCAACCACTAATTGGTGCATAGTACCCCTAAATGATAAATAACAAACATTTTCATAACTCTGGGTTCTTCTTCAGGTTTAATAAATTTGAAAAATAAGCTGGATCTTCCAGAATCATTCATAAATATAAAATCAAACATTAAGACAGAGTTTGAACAAAGCAAACTTATGCATATGCACTCCTCATGTCAACTTTATATACAATGGAACACTAAATATCATTAAGAATTTTTAGAAGGGTCTAAAAATATGTTTGATTTTTCACATAAATGCAAAAAGGCATCTAAAATAGTACAGTAGAAGCCGAGTTCTTCATGGTAAGTCTTAATCCTGTCCCTCTCCCTTGTGGGGGAATTTTGAAAAATCCCTTCTTAGTGTATGTTCTCATGACGTACCCTAACTGTGTACCAAATTTCAACTTTCAG